GGCTGTCTTTGGACTATCGTATGTTGTAATCATTCTTTATGTTACTCTTACAGGAAGTTTTACTATTTTCATTCTTGAACGACGCGTTTAAACGCCTAGACACCTCACAAGTTGAGGTTTGTAACTAAATTTTGTGTATTATTTAATAAAGAACCGCTTTTGTAGACAAATCGTTGTTTTGGAACTTCGATTTTGCGCATATCTCAATCGGGGTTACTTCGACGCTTCGATAGAATCAACAGTATGATATTCAGAGCATCACTGGTGTTCAATGAGGATCTGATGCTGATATAATGGTGAAGATTGGTAAATTAAGGGTAGTATTCCTACAGTTGAAGAATATATGGAACTCAAAACAACTATCAAACAATATCAAATTTACAATCTTCAACACGAACGTCAAGGCAGTTCTACTGCATGGAGCTGAAACTTGGAGGACTACAACAACCACCATCAAGAAGGTACAAGTATTTATAAATAGCTGTCTACGCAAGATACTCAATATCCGTTGGATGGATACCATCAGCAACAGCCTACTACGGGAAAGAACAAATTCGCTTCTATCTGAAGAGGAAATTAGGAAAAGAGGTTGGCAATGTATAGGACACACATTGAAGAAATCGTCAAATTGAATCACAAGGCAGGCGCTAACTTAGAATCATGATGGGAAACGGAAAAGAGGAAGGCGGAAGAACGTACTATGTCGGGAATTGAAATCAAACATGAAACAAATGAATAGTAACTGAAAAGAACTGGAAAGGATTATTCAGAACAGGGTTGGATAGAAAGTGCTGGTGGTTGGTGTTATGACTTTATGTCCGGCTTATTATCACGTGATTAATCCGCCAATCAAAATACGACTTATCCAATCTTAGCACTATGCAAAACCAATGACGTTCGACCTGTATGAGCAGCCAAGCGTCCTTATTGGTCCTATGTCCGCCTAGCCCGTCCACTCGCGTCCAGAACACCAATACCAGCTCCCACCATGCGAATCGAATTGAATCATTTATTTCAGACATACTGGGTTTATATATCAACCAAACAGACCGCAACGCACTATAAAATAGGAAATAATATTTGTACACAATAAAGCCAAAAAGTGGTTGTGAACGTGGGAGGCAGTAGTTAATAAACTGAGCATAATTTCACAATTGATTGATGACTGGGTGGTGATCAATGTCATGCTTGTTTAGTCCTTATTAGTGCAGATCGAATGCTATCGATCATGTTGCAATATGGCCACCAGTCTAGGTTACTCGACACCGCGGACACTATGTGTTGACATTAGATGGTGGTTGGAGGTAGTCAACAGGAAACCCGAGTCCAGGGTGTCCTGTTGACTACCTCCAACCACCATCTAATGAGCATAATTTAGAGACAGTAAATCGTACAATGATAAATTATAGATCAAAATAAAGCTTATGACAAGGGGAATATAAATACACATAATCTAATCATTGAATAGTTATACAATAAGAATATTTATAGAATATTATTCCATTATTAGTCCTCGGAAGTTACTCGTAATTTAATCTTCACTAGGATATGACAGTTAGGCTATGCTCCTCCCTGAGGGGTGACAGGCGTAAGTAAGTAATTAAGTAAGTATGGTATTCAGAAATTTCTAATGAGAGGCAAATTATGAGCCATCTGATGCTCGTATTACAAAAATTATCATTAAATCATTATGAGGTCAAGTTTATATAATAGATGTATTTAACTGATAAGACATTATTGATTAACTTTAGGTTCATTGTAAAGCACAAAATCAGCTTCTTAGGTACTCAGTAGTAATTTGTTCAATGCTAATCAATAGTTGAAATGTAGACAACACAAACCTTGAACTCAATTATCACTGAGTTGTGACGAATGCTGAGTAGCTTTGAACCTTTATAAGTGTTGGTCGAGCTTTGTCGGCTAAATCGTAGTCCAGTAGGTTAAACGTTCGCGCATGAGACTGAAGGCTCTGGGTTCGGATCCTGCGATTGAGATCGTGGATGCGTACTGCTGAGGAGTGCCACAATAGGACGAAACGGCCGTCCATTGCTTCCAGGTTTCCAACGGTGGTCTAATATCAATCGGTTCATGATCTCAATCAAAAATTTAATAATTCCCACTACCCCTATACTCATATATGATAACACAGATCTGGATGATTCGTAATGAACTGATACAAATCTTACATTCGTCGATATATATTACTGATGTTCAGTTTTCCTTATCCTTATTAATATTCCATCTATAATTTCATGATACATACTACTTCTAACAGACTACTTAGTAGAATATGTGACCAATTAAATTAATACACATTTAAATTCACTTCGTATTGTTTTACTTGAATCTTCCCATTGATGTTTAGGATTGCAATTGATCAGTCTCTTATTGACATATATGCATCCTGCGCGTATTACCTCGATATTGCTTTAATTCACAAGTATTCTAAGTAAAGATGGATAGTGGCTAGCGGTGGAATCTAGGATGGGTGTTTCGTCCTATTTGGAACTCGTCAACTTGATGTACCTTATATATATCAAGATATAGAATTTCTGAGACTAATTGATTATTTCAGTTAATAACGTTGATCATTATATCTATGTTAAGCTAATAAACATTATCGATCAAATCTAAAGGTCATTCAATGATTTTAAATAATATTCTGATACTGAATACACATTATTATTATTATTACTATGTGCGTACATTACCTTAGTAACTGGCTACTGATTTTTATGTTATAACATTTTTTCAACGGATAGCTAGATATGGTCATGATTGTTTATCTGTTAGATATCAATGGTAAACTATTCATATATAAGTCTAAATGATGGTTTTTTAATAGTTGAATTCATGAGTCAATTAAAGCTAGACCATCATGAAAAATCTGAAAGCACTGGACAGCTATTTCGTCCTAGTGTGGGACTCTTCAATAGTGCACATCCACAATCTTGCACATTCGACTCGAACTCAGAAGCTTCGGTTTCTTGCGCTTAACCACTAGATCACCGAACCGGATAGTAGTGGAATACAGGACGTGTTTTTTGTCCTATTTGAGACTCGTCAGCTGGATATATCTGTATCTCATAGTTGCTGTTCACTCTGGAACTTGAACTCAGTACCGTTCGCTTCAAACACCATCACGTTATTCACTTAGCTATTGAGTCCTGTTAGCCATTTAGTTCTGCAATGGAATGAAGTTGAAATCCATTTGGTGTTGTTTACTTGTATCTTCCCATTGTTTTTACGGGTGCAATTGATCAGTGTCTTGTTGGCATATGTACATCCTGTGCGGACGAAACGCACTTTATGGATTCCACTGCTAGCCACCATCCGTCTTTGCTTAAAAATAAGTTTTCACTCTTTGAGAACAACATTTTAATACTGAACATATAGAAGATTTAAGAAGAGTTAAAATTGTAGTATACAGATTAGTTATCTGTAAAGAACAAACAATTTAACCTAGAGGTTACATTGATATTAATTATTCTAACTTTGTATTTCAATTAAATCAAAGCAGATTAAAGATGAACCATACAGTCAATCAACTGAAGCAAACTCGACTGTTGCTTTTGCTCATATCAGTCAATCGTCTTAGATTGTTCCTGCATTTCCATACCAATTACTTTCATTTCCCGTTCATTCCTCCTCGATCTTCTAGATGTTCTTCTACGAGACAATCTATTCATGATTAGAGTTATATACTACTTATGTCGATACAAGTAGTACACACCACAGCATGAGCTAGCTATTATTAATATTCAGAATTTAATCTATCAGGGATTATTTAGTTATTATTTACCGTCGGTCCCAACCTCGGATAAAGGAGGAGGGTTGGGCACAAGATAAGCGAACCCACCCCGTACGAAACTAACTCGCTAAAATAACGCTAACCAGAAAAAATAATTCAAACCATTTAAACTATGCCCTAGGAGCTAGAATGTCTTCATTTAGAAGAGTTATAAAGTATCATGATGACAGCCGAGTTTTTTCGGAAATCACGAGGCTGATGCTCATTCTAACAACCAGATCAACCATGAATTTAGGTACATGGAATGTTCGTACAATGTGGGAGACCGGGTTAGTCTTCCAAATTGCTGCAGAAATGAAGAGATACAACCTGGAGGTACTTGGAATCAGTGAAACACATTGAACGCGAGTTTGACAACAACGACTAGCTTCAGGGCAGTTTCTGTTATACTCCGGCCATGAAGAAGAAAATGCTTCACATACACAAGGAGTTGCGTTGATGCTGTTTAAACAAATACAAAGTGCACTTATAGGATGGGAACCTCATGGACCAAGGATCATCAAAACCTCCTTCAAAACAAAAAAAGAGGGCATTACAATGAACGTCATCCAATGCTATGCACCTACCAACGAAGAAGCTAAAGATCAATTCTACAATAGGCTGCAGTCAATCGTCGAGAAGTGCCCAACAAAGGACCTGATCATTCTGATGGGATATTCAAATGTCAAGGTTAAAATGGACAACACCGTATATGAAGACATCATAGGGCGAAAAGAACTGGGAGAAAGGAACAAAAATGGTCAGAGAATTTTGCAAACCTATATGCCTTCAACAAACTGATCATAGGCGGCACTATATTCCTATATATTGAAAAACAAAACTTTCATACAAAAACAAAATATATTTCTGATTCCTATCCTCAATAAAAGAAGAAAAAAGAATACAGTCACATTGAAATAATGTATACAATTGTAGAGTTGAAGTTTTTCTAACGGTAAACAGTCCCTTTAAACATTCCTATCATCATTTTCATTGACAATTCATGATAACTATATTATTCTTAAAGCAAATATTAATGATATATATATATATATATATATATATATATATATATATATAGTAGAAAGAAAAAAGAAAAAAAAGAAATAAACAAGAGTACTTTTCTTTCTTTTCTTTTCTTTTTTAATGTTGTTGTTGTTGTTGTTGTTGATGGTGGTGGTAGTGGTGACGATGGTCGGGGGGGGGGAGAAAGGTGATAAAGGGGGTGTTGATGATTTATTCAACTTTGGTATTTCTTTCATCTCTTTTCTTTTTCTTATTTTTTCTTCGTTTTCAATGTTTTTTCTTTTAAATCATCATGTGAATTTGTTTCTTTTATTTTCTTTTTTATACTTTTATGTAAATAATGAACAAATTTTTCACCAAGTAATATAAATCCAATAGAGATAGACCAAGTGATTGTATAATTGAAATATCTAAGTAGTAGATTATATTTAAGAAATTGTGGATATGGTGATGTATTCCATAAAAGAATTCCAGTTTCTATGCTAAATGGTTTTTTTGGTGTTGTTGGTGTTATTTATTGTGTATGTTTGTTTGTTTATGTTCGTGTGTGTGTGTGTAAGAGAGTGTGTGTGAGTGTGTGTGTGTGTGTGTGTGAAAAATTCGTCAAAATATCATGTTAGTTATGTTATAAAAAGGAAAAGAAAAAGAAAAGAAAGAAGGCAACATTAAAGTTTAAGAATAAAAATTTATATAATGGAATATACCATGTAATGAATATTTACTTAAATCAATAGACAAAAGAACATATTCATTCATGTACTTGTTGTTTGTGTGTATTCTATTTCATAATGGAATGATGTAATACATTTGTGTATTGAATACTTGAACTTTTGTATATTAGTGATGTTGTATAAAGTATGCTAAACGACTTCATCATCATCATCATCATTGTCATCATCCAATGCATCATCAACATCATATCCGAAGCATCATCATTATCATCCGAAGCAGAATCACCATCATCATATCCGAAGCATTATCATCATCCAAAGCATCATCATCATCATCATATCCGAAGCATCATCATCATCCAAAGCATCATCATCATCGTCATCATATACGAAGCATCATCATCATCCAAAGCATCATCATCGTCATCATATACGAAGCATCATCATCCAAAGCATCATCATCATCATATTCGAAGCATCATCATTATTATCATCCAAAGCAGCAACTGCATCATCATCGTCCAAAGCAGCAGCTGCATCATCCAAAGCATCATCACCATCCAAAGTATCATTACCATCATCATCCAAAACAGCAGCATCATCATCATCCAGAGCATCATCATCACCAACATCTTCTTCTTTGGTAGAAGAAGGCACAAAATACCTATGAGCCACACAAGTCAAATGATTTGTGGCTGGAATACTACCTGAGTACATTAACTGAAGCGCAGAGCCTTTGACCTAGAGGCTAAATGCATAAAGCAGTGGAGCAATGTTAGAAGATCCATACCCATGGTAGTTGATGGCTAACAATAGGTTCATACGTAATTTGTTTCCTTAAGATCATAGAGCTCATATTTACCATTGGTTTGGAATCAGGGTTTTTCAACTCATCTAGCTAGATCCTGCATATCCACTAAACAAACATTCATTTTTTCATCCTTTCAATTTTATAAACAACACTTTTACCGCAAAAAGGCAATGAATAAGACTTCCATGTTAGTGTTTATATACTGATGACTATGTGAGAATATTTTGAGAGGGAGAGCTGATCTCTTTTAGTAACGAAAAAAAGAACGTTTTAAGTTATATTTACAATATATTATTATTATCCGTTTATCTTAGATATTTAGTGTATTCAGTTTTAAGTATCAGAAGGGCTTTTGTGAATATTATTAGTAATTTTAATAGTTGACATCATGGGTCAGTTGAATCTAGACCATCATGGAAAACCTGGAAGCACTGGACAGCCGTTTCATCCTATTATGGTACTCTTCAGCAGTTCGCATTCGAACGTAGGACATCGATGTGTCGCTCAATTTCTTACATTAGTTGAAATTAGACATTAACATCGTTGGATACCGGCTGGCTTATTAATCTACAGGTTAAGCATTCACGCATAAGACTGATAGATCCTCAGTACGAATCTGGTGAAGCCATGATCATGAATGCGTATTGCTGAGGAATCCCACAATAAGATGAAATAGCTATCCAGTTCTTCTAGGTTTTCTTTGATGTTCTACCTTTAATTGACTCATAATTTCAACTATTCAGTTTTTCTCATAGCATCAATATAACAATGGCTATTAAACTAATGACCTTATTAGATAAATTCATTCATAATGTATCATGATGATAAATAATTGAATCCATGAAATAAGAGAAGTTTCTAATGTCATCATCATCATCCTTATACACCATAAGTTTATTAGATCATGTTTGTTGCTATGGTAATTTATTAAAGTATCTCTTTGAAATATGAGTATGATTACAAAAAGAAAGAAGAAGAAGATTAAAGTGAAGTGAACTCTTTGAATTCAGTCTTTGTCATTCAATATTTATTCTTTTATAAATTGTGTACTCTTTGATTTTTCTTTTTGTTTTTCTTTTTTTAAAGGAGGGGGGGGGAGGGGGGAGTTGTTCCTTTTTGTTACTTTTCATAGTTTAATTGAATAATATAAAGTTATGATTAGTAAAGTTTATTCAGGTTAATGATAAGATATGCATTGATAATGAAATTAAATGATAAATATGTATCATGTTACATTTATTCTATGAGAATATAAAGGTTATAGGTACAATCATTGATATACCCTATTATGGTGTACTATTCAAGAGTTTTTAAATTAGATGAACATTTGTCTAATGTTTCATGATTTTGATGGAGTTTTGTTCTCAGAGCTGAATGGTTCGGTTGGGGAGTTATCATCGTTCGTCTGAATGACATCATCCGCAGCACAAACTTCAGATAGAAGTGAAGTGTTCGAAGTTTGCGCTGCGAATGATATCGTTCAGAAGAACGATGAAAGCTCCACAATCAAACCATCCAGCTCAGAAAATAAAACTTCATCAAAATCATCCACTTAAGCTACGAATCTTCTCCACCATCTCAATGCTTAGTGGTATTCATTGGTTTTATGGCTAATGTAGTTATTATATAAAATTTAAACTAATGAATTGAACTCATTTGGTATTGTTTGTTTGAATGTTTCTATTGATGTTTAAGACTATGATTGATCAGTTTCTTATTCACATATATTACAATGCTAACGGTACTGAGTTCGAGTCCTAGAGTGAACATTAACTCTTGGATGCAGATATATCCAGCTGACGAGTATTAAATAGGAAGAAACATGGGTCCTGGATTCTACTCTTAGCCACTGTCCATCTTTGCTTTCAATGCCTGTCACTTAAGGCTCTATCGCGGCAATTCGCACAGGATACATATGAGCCAAAAAGTGACTGATCAATTGCAGTACTAAACATCAATGGGAAGATTCAAGTGAACAATACTAAATGAATTTAATCTACGTCCTATTGCACAAGCAAGTGGCTGCTATGGTTCAGTAGCTAAGTGGATAATACAATGGCGTTTGAAGCGAACGGTACTGGGTTCGATTCCGAGAGTGAACATCAACTCAGATGCAGGTACATCCATCTGACGAGTCCCAAATAGGACGAAGTGGTGCGTGTTTTGGATCCCACTGCCAACCATCTTTGCTTATAATGAACTGAAGTCTAATAGATTGGATTTCTGATATTTTTCAATTGACAATTGACAAATATGCAACCTCATAGTCGCGTATATAGGAATCACAAATTTCATGAATTGATAACTGAATACAAACAATATACTAAAGTTATAATATCTTGATGCGTTAGGTTTTGGATTACGGAGCAATTGTTGCTTTATTCAGTGTTATTCGTAACTAGACACAAAGATGAATGGTGGTTATCAGTAAAATCCAGGACGCGCGTTTCTTCCTATTTGGGACTTACTAACTGGATGTACCTGTATCCTAGAGTTCATATTCATTCCAGATCTCGAACCCATTACTGTCCTCTTCAAACGACATTACATTATCCACTTAATTATTGAGTCATGATAGCCACTAGTTTGTGCAATAGAGTGAAGTTTAAATCTATTTGTACCTGTAATTCATTGAAATTCAGTTCAAGTGTTTATTGGATAGATTGTATACAGTAGAACTATTCAGAGCATTAAATCAATTTTATAATCATTATTATTATGCTTTCCGGTTAGCGAATTTTTAGCGAGTTAGTTTTCTAAGGAATAGGGTCACTAACCCCATGCCCAACTTTCCTCCTTTTTCCGCGGTTTGGACTAGTATTAGCCCCAGAGCAGTTCCAGTCAACCTTCGAGTATAGAAGAGAGTTTTTAAAAAATCATCTCTGTTAAACTAAAAACACAAACATATTGAACTTACAAGATATTATAAAGGATTCCAATGAAACATTCAATCTTTAATGCATTATAGAATGAGACTATTTTCGGATGACATAGGTAAGCATCGAGAACCAAAGCAACTGGTGGAATTAAATGCTTTAATTCATTATGTAATACAAAAGAATAAGGAAAATAATGATAGTTGAAATACAATATCGTACGAAAATAGACATTTATAAGAGTAGTGACTAACTATACTTAGTTACTTACTTACTTACTTTACTTACGCCTGTTACGCCCAATGGAGCATGAGCTGCCATGAGATCCCCACCCTATAAGTGCATTTTGTACTTGTTTGAATAGCATCAATACAACTCATTGTGTATATGGGGCGTTTTATTCTTCATGATTGGAGTATAACAGAAGCTCCCTTGAAGCTAGTCATTGGTGTCCAGTGACTAACGGTACATACTGTTTTATATGTTCATTCATAATGATACAATTCTATTTATCAATTTGTAATATGACCATAAATTTGAGTAAGTCAAAACTAAGTTTTGTGGTTTTATAGTGGATAGGAAACCCTGTGAATTAGACACATTTGCATGATGTATTATCGTCAGAGTTTCCTATCTACTAATAGTGTGCAATCACTGGGATCAATGACTATCGATCGGCACCACATAATAAACAACTTAATGTTGGCTATTGCTAACTGATGAAATACTGAAAAGAACTTAACCATATAGGAGAAGAGTATTGATGTAACATTTTAATATGCCAAGAACTATATTAAGTTATCATTCATTGTTTGTTTATTTTTCAACCCATATGTGGTTAATGAGTAATACTATTTACAGTAAAGTAACTCATTTAAGTTAGAAGTAAACTTCCAGGAAATTAGAAATCATCAGTAAAGGATTGTGGCATCAAGATATATTTCTTGAAGTTCTAGTGAGAATCTGTGACGGGTGAAGTTCATCCAGTTACTCACTGAAAATAATGGTGGAAAGTGTTGCAATTACGTGGATTGGTTGAAATTAGACATTAACACCTTTGGATACTGGCCGGCTTAGTTGTCTAGAGGTTAATCATGAGTGACCGAATGTCGTGAGTTCAATTCCTACATGAATGATCTTAGATGCGCACTGATGAGTAATCCCATAGTAGGATGAAGCTAGAAACTGACAAATAGTTTATGAAAACCTCTGTATTCTATTATACAACCACATAGTACATTACGTATCCAGTTTCATTGGGTAATTTAATAACTCATTCATAGTTTGTTTAATCCCAAATGTCATAATACTCAACCTGGAAAAGTAGACATAAAGTCAGTTTAAAATCCTAATGAAACTTTAACAGTTATTTTTGTAAGCAATGATGGATAGTGATTAACAGTGGAATCCGGGACGTGCGTTTCGTCCTATTTGGGACTCGTCAGATGGATGTACCTGCATGAGTTGATGTTCACTCTGGGACTCAAACCCAGTACCATTCGCTTCAAACGCCATCGCGTTATCCACTTAGCTACTGAGTCCTGATAGCCACTTCCAATATCGAGGCATGCGCACAGTATGCAAATATGCCGATAACAGACTGATCAACTGCAGTCTTAAACCCCAATGCGAAGGTACAAGCCAAATAATACCAAGTGAATTTAACAGTTATGTTTATTCTCAAGAGTTTTATTAGTGAATAGGTGTTGTACTGAGCATCATTTTCTGGCTATATTTTGTTTCATCATTGGAGAAGTGTTGTATTGTGCTAAATAGAGTTTTATCATTTTAGCTGGCGTCAGTTCGTGATGAAAACTCTAATTCTAATTCGTATTCCTAACGATCAACTGTAAAACATCATTCGTCGAGACTCTAATTTATGGAGGACCTTTGAACGAATCTTAAGTGAACTTGAGAAATATTAGATAATCAGCAAACAGTCAGTATGGAGTAAAAATATGTTATACAAAACCAAGGAAATAAAGTGGACACACTTCTTATACGTGGTTCAAAAACTTGTCAAGGTAAGAAAGAGGTTCAGAGGTTCTAAATCGTAATGCATGCAATAGAGAAAATCATCCACACGGCTACAGAATAGTCGGCCTCTGGAGCCATGATAAAGTCTCAAAAACTCTTTCAGCCTCGAACACATAGCATCAATATTGTTTGTGTGCACTTCGGTTGTTGAGTGCACAAAATGCTACTTGTGGGTAATGACACGACGCACATAACCAAGCCTATGAAGGAGTCTGTACGCTCTCCAAACATCCGTATATATTGTAGTACCTGGCTGCGGCTGGTGTTACTGGTGCTTTTATTATCCAGTTCTCAATAATTGTCATAATTTGCCTTAGCAATTACATATGGGGTTTTCATCATGAACTGACATCAGCTATAATGCCAGAAATTTATTTAGCCAAATGGATGAAAGGCTTTCGCGTTAAAATCCGAGATCTATTATCTTATACCTGACTGATTCGTCCACAATTTATAGTTTCGCCATTTTATTTGTTATAGCCGCTCAATTATCACGTTTTGTACAAAATTCCCTGTAAACCGATCGTACGTTAGCATTAAGTACTGAAGTTGGCGCCGTAACCTTGAAATCTCTTAAACGCCTCTCATTGGCTCGTCCATAAATTAGAGTCTCGCCCATAATTCTAATTCCTCACACTAATTTACAACCCTCATTTGGTCTTAGTTGTCAGGTAGACACTTTCAAGGTTAATTTAACATCACTGAAAGGTCGTCTACGAATTATAATCTCACCCATGGATTCAATGAATTTTTAAAGGTTTAAATGAAATTTCCAACAAAAGATATTGATCGAGTAATTTGGAAATCATTCAAAACTCCATGGTGAAACACTTTAATTGCATGTTAGAAACATTTAAAATAACTACAACTGTTACATTTTAAGATCATTGAGATCATTAATCGTTTGATGTTAGACTACTATTGAAAACCTTGAAGCACCGAACATCTATTTCATCCTAGTTGGGGGAATTCTCAGTAGTGAGCACCCATCTCGCTGGATTCAAACTCAGGATTTTGGGTCTCGTACGCGGACACTCAACCTCTAGGTCATTCGACTGGCTGGCATTGAACGGTGTTAATGTCTAACTTCAACCAATCCATTAAAATTGAGCAATCGTCTACCATTTTCTGAGATAGATACCTGTCTATAACTGACATGGATTAGGTTCTAAGTTTTCAATCAAAAGCTTAATACTCTCTACAATCACATATTGATAATTACAACTATTACATTCTTATTATCATTTTGAGTTGGCTCCAATAGTATTATAGTAATAAAAATGATTTATATACGTTTAATACTACTTATCAATCAAAGAAACTTAAAACAAGAAACAATTCATAATAATAATAATAATAATAATAATAAGACTTACACATAAATGATTATACCATAATGGCATATTTTTTAATTCATCAATTTCATAAATCATTTTGGGATCATAAAGGAATGCACTCCAGTAGAAAAGCATCATTGTCTAGGAATAAATAGATGATTAATGATGATAATGATAATCAATAAGGTGGCCTGCTTGAATATCTAGGCTATATATATATAATATTGAATAAAGCCATTAATAATAAATAATGATTATTGTACTGTTGGAGAGGGCCATACTAGAATGAAACGGCTGTCCAGTACTTCCAGGTTTTCTATCGTGGTCTAGCTTCAGTTGACTCATGATTACAACTATTGAAATTTCTAAAATCCCACAAAACCCCTTCTGATAATAACCACATGCTCACTATTGACTGACTTCAAGAGGCATTTCTTGGAGTTCAATTGAGAGGCCGTTACCAGTGGAGTTCAACCAGGTCTGTTGTGAAATATCAGCTCATTGAAGAAAATACTGGATGGTGGCACAACATCGTGGATTGGTTGAAGTTAGAGATTAACGCCTTTGGATGCCGGCTGGATTAGTAATCTAATGGTTAAGCGCTCGCGCGCGAGAATAATAGGCTTTAGGTTCGTATCCTGCAAGGCGGGATCATAGATACACACTGCTGAGTAGGTCCATATTTGAATGAAACGGCCTTCCAGTGTTTTCAGGTTATCCATGGTGGTCTAGCTTCAATTGACTCATGATTTCAACTATTGATAATGATTATTATTAAATGAACTACACACACACACACACACAAACTCACATGCACCAACACACCTCCACACACATACATATTGATAAAGTCTTACCGAATTAAATGAGAATACAACCAAGAATTGATAACCACGAATATGATCAAGATTAAAGTATTGTAATGGTATTGAAGTTATAAAGTAGATTGCATTTAAAGTCTATACAAAAGAAAACAGTATGATTATTATTATTATTATTATTATTATTATTATTATTATTACTGTAAAGATGAATTACCATTGTAATACATGTGAAGAACTTCAATAGATAAAGTACTTGAATTAGTTGAATACCTTCATTATTATTTGGATAGAAATAGAAATAACCAATCTGTGATGAAATTGTATATAGAATAATAACAATTAAACGATATAGTATTATGTAATCCGTATTGAATCGATGGTTACTGATTGATTTCATTAGTTCTATTATGTAATGACCTGAAAAATAGATATATAGATAGATATATAAAGAATAAAACTGTAATGTATGATAAAATGTTAATGTAATATGTTAGTAATGAATTACAATTTACCATAGATTATATACAATAGATAGACTATAAGAAAGAATGTAATCGAAATGTTCTGTTTAAGAGTTTCTTAACTGATTATACTTGGATCTCATTGTTACTTTGAGGAGATGAATGACCTATGAGCGAAGCTAAACTGATCTTGAAAGTGTTCACCTAATCACAAGGACTAAATGAGGGTTATAAAGCAGTTTGAAGAATAAAGATTATGATTTACAGTTGATGAGGTTAAGGTTAGAAATTAGATGTAGGGTTTTCATCACCAACTGACAATAAGTTATAATTCAAAGAGTCTATTTAGTCGAATGGTTGAATGAATTTCGTGCTAAAATCTAAGACGTGTTATCTTAAATATGATTGATTCATCCATAATTTATAGTCTCACTACAACTTTATATACATAGTATGCGAATTATTACTAATATGTGATAACAGTCGATAGATGAACTTATCTCTATGCATGTGTGTTAAATGCAATGACCACTATCGATATGATGTTTTCATGATTCGATGGAATTATATACGGAAGCAAATATGTGAAACAATTTAATACGAATCGCAGTATAAGTAAATATCCTTCTCAAAATGCTCTCACATAGCCACGTCAATACAACCATACCCACAGATGACCGATTCGCTACCTTTCTCTCATCCACGGTGTTGTTTAGGAAATTGAGAGGAAGAAAAACGAATGTTTGGTGCATTAACCGGGATGGTGAATACAGACAGTCCACCTAACGGAGTTGGAAGACCCTGATTCCACACAAATCGTACACATAGATTATAGAATCCTAAAGGAACAAATAGTGTATGAACCAACCATGTGACCGCATCTCCTGACGTTGCTCCGGCGCATTGTGGATTAGACTTCTAGGTTGATTGTTGCGAGTGTGGCCTCCTAAGCAAATCACCTTGTTCGATTTGGGCATCTAGTCTGTATCATATCCCTCACACAAATCGAATGATTTATGTGCCGAATATCTACTTTAAGCCTCGTTGTACCAATCACGTAATTAGCAATGATTTTAATCTGATTTATAATGTAACATTACACATATTACACACATTTTTTCATTGACCTTTTTAATATAATGAATGCGAATAACAGACTGATCAATCGCAGTCTTAAACCTCAATGGGAAGATACAAGCCAAACAATACCAAGTGAATTCAAATTCACCCCATTACACAAGCGAGTGGCTATCAGGACTCAGTAGCTGAGTGAATAACGCGATGGCGTTTGAAGCGAATGGTGCTGGGTTCGAGTTCCATAGTGAACATCAACTATGAGATGCAGGTACATCCAAGTCCCAAGTAGAACGAAACGCGCGTCCTGGTTTCCACTGCTAGCCACTATCTATCATTACTTATATAATGAATTGTGTTTATTTTGATAAACAATAGAATGACGTAATCATTGTCTGTTTAACATGATACTTTAAGTTTTACCAATAAACAAATGATCAGTAAAATAAATGTCAAAGAAACAACTTTGGTGAGATTATCGTTTATAGACGATCATTGAGCGAAGCTAGACTGATCTTGAGAGTGTTCATCTAATCACTAGGACTGAATGAGGGATTATGATTTACAGTTGATGGGGTTAAGGTTAATAATTAGATTTAGGCTATTCATCATGAACTGACATAATCCAGAATGCCAAAACGATATTTAGCTTAATGGGACGAATGAATTTCGCGCTAAAATCCAAGACCTGTTATTTTAAATTTGATTGGCTCATTCAGAAATTATAGTCTCTCCGTTATTACGTTTTTTATCAGTACTCGAAATCAATTTAGGAACAATAAAGGGGAGGGGGATTTGCATGCATATAGCATACAATTCTCTTTAAGCTAGCACACAACAATAGCATCATATACTGTTTCATCACTCGTTACTTCGGTGGTTCAATGGTAGAATACTCGCTTATCATACACTACTCAAAGTCGGTACTTTCTGCTTTAAACACTAATTCATTATTCATAATGTTACTGAGTCTATATGGATTCTACTAATGAATAAAAATTTAGATGAAATGTGAGTTCTGAACTTCACTACTAGTTACATTCCAATTATGTTTTATGAACTATCTTAAGACTTTGCATACTGGATGCATATATGCTAACTAAAACTGGTTGAATGTCCATGCAAATATGAACTACACGATAATTACATGATAAATGTCTTGTGAAGATTGTTAAATCTTCATATATTTTGCATCACGGGTTAATGTCAGTCATAAAACAATTGAAAATATGAGAATAGTTGACAATTTTCTTTTCCATCCTATTATAGAGCTTCTAGGTGATAGTTTTCACTCATGCATATATTTAGGATCGAACTCAAGGCTTTCACTCTTTGCTAACCTTTAGATAACTAGTCTGTCATACATTGGTTAACATGCTTAATTTCAATTGTTTTTCAATATCACTTAATTACGCCTTTTACTCCTAATGGAGAATAGGCAACCGACCAGCATTCTCAAATCCACTCTCTCCTCGGCCTTTCTTTCTAGTTCTATCCAATTGTTGATCATTCTTCTCATATCTGTCACCATTCCTCGGCGCAATGTGTTCTTTGTTCTTCCTCTCCTCCTTCGGCCTTGAGAATTACAAGTCATGGCATCCTTTGTGACACAGTTGAGTGAATTCCTCAATGTGTGTCCTATCTACTTCCAGTGCTTCTTCCTGATTCCTTCCTCTGCTGGGATCTGGTTTATTGTCTCCCATAGTAGGTTATTGCTAATAATGTCCGGGCAACGGACCCGAAGTATTTTGCGTAGACAACTGTTAATAAACAGTTGTATCTTCTGGATGATGGCCTTCGTAATTCTCCAAGTTTCCGCTCCATCCAGTAGAACTGTTTTGATATTTGTATTGAAAATTCTGACCATGGTGTAGGTTGACAGTTGTTTTGAGTTCCAGATGTTCTTCAGTCGTAAATGTGCTACTCTTGCTTTGCACACCCACGCTTTCATATCTGCATTAGATCCATCGTGTTCATCAACGATGCTGCCCTAATATGTGAAGGTTTTTACATCTTCCAAATCTTCTCCCTCAATTGTGATTGGATTGATGCATGTTGTTCTGTATCGGAGAATCTTGCTGTCCCCTTAGTGTTATTTATCAAGATTATGTAACTATAAATTAATATCATTAGTGGATAACTATCTCACATTTAACAAAATTGAATTTCCCTGATCACGACTTTATATAAAAACATTAAGAATTACATTACAAAGTTAGTCATTTGTGGGGACGAGATTTTTATCAGTAATGTAGGCATCATCATCATCATCATCATTATCATCATCATCATCATCATCATCATCATCATCATCATCATCATCATCATCATCATCATCATCATCATCATCATCATCATCATCATCATCATCATCATCATCATCATCATCATCATCATCATCATCATCATCATCATCATCATCATCATCATCATCATCATCATCATCATCATCATCATCATCATCTACACCTTCAAAGAAGGAATCGATTAAATTCTCAACTGAATTTTCACGAAACCATCATAAATAAACACCGCCTTTCTTTCTTAAGAGAAAATAGATTGAAAGTACACTTTATAAATGAATTGAACATCATATATATATATGCACATTTAAACCCAAATAAGCCAACATCGCTATACAGTTCTATGCACACTAACAGTTCTATGAGTGCGCTTACAATATCATATGACAATATAAAGTGCACTTGAAAGTTAATAAACAATTTGACTTTTCTTCTATTTTATCAATTTCACTTTGTTCGTTTTTCTCGTCTTTTTTTTCTTTCGTTTATTTTTGCTTGATTCTTTATATTCTGTCGATTCGACCCTTGAAGTTTATGGTGATCCCATACTGTGAAAATTATATATATATAAATACATTTATATATATACAAGCCTTATCGATTAGCTGTCTACATCGGATTATGTTGCCATTAATCGTGTTGTGTTTTGTTGACGATCCTGATAAGTCTTATCTTGAAAGACAACAAATTAGAATTGGGCTAAGCGAGTTTATATTCAACAAAGAGGAAGTGTGAGGGGAGGGGGAGTGGAGGTGGAAGATGATAATTTTACTTAGTCATAATTTTCTATTTTATTGGTTTATATATGGTTTACACTGTACTTTGATATGTTTAGAATAGGAATCACGGATATTTGCCAAATAGTAATACAGTTTAGATGGATAGTGGTTAGCAGTGAAATCTAGGACGTGAGTCACTTCGTCCTAGTTGGGACTCGTCCGCTGGATGTACCTGTATAGCAGATTTATTGTTCACTCCGAGACTCGAACCCAGTACCGTTCGTTTCAAACGCAATCGAGTTATCCACTTACCTACCATGTCCTGATAGCCACTTGTTTGTGCAATAGAGTGAAGTTGAAATTCACTTAGTGTTGTTTACCTGTACCTTTCCATTATTGCGTAGGGCTGCAATTGTTCAGTCTCTTGTTGGCATTTGTGCATCCTGTGCGGATTGCCTTGATACTGCCTTAAGTCACAAGGTTTTTAAGCAAAGATGGATAATGGCTAGCAGTGGAGTCCAGGACTCGCGTTTCGTCCTATTTGGGACTCGTCAGCTGGATATACCTGCATCGCAGAGTTGATGTTCACTCCGGGATGGTGTCATTACTATATGTAAGTGTATTAAAAGTTTCTGAATGTGTTCAGCATAGTTCAGTTTAATGAATATAACTACCATGAAATCCTTCTTCCGCGCAACAATTTTTCATTAACATCAATCCCTATGTGTATTGGAATAAGTTTATTTGTTCAATAGGGATCTATATCAGTTTGTTATTCCTATTTACGTATATGCAATTGTGTTCACTATTGAGTATAGATTGGAAGTTTAATTCTTAGTAAATAGAGTTTGACAAACATCACGGATTAGGGGAAGATTATATTTGGCCTCTACTCAATGAATAATAAATGAAAACATATGCTCACTAGTGACTGGCTTCAAAATGTATACCCTGCTGTTCTAGTGAAAAGCCGTGACCAGTGGAGATCAACCAGGTCTGTTATGAGATAGTAACACACTGATGAAGACAATGGTGGATGTGTCGCCCAATTTCATGGATGAGTTGAAGTTAGACATTAACACCGTTGGATGCCGGCTGGTTCAATGGCCTAGTAGTTAAGCGCTCTAGAGCGAGACTGATAGGCCTTCGGTTCGTATCCTGCAAGGTGGGATCATAGATTTGCACTGCTGAGTAGTCCCATATTTGGATGAAACGGCCTTCCAGTACTTCCAGGTTATCTATGATGGTCTAGTTTCAATTTACTCGTGAACTGAACTATCAACTTACTACAATCTTCACAAAACCTCTCTCTGACTAACAATAACAATACTCATCAATTATCCCTTTTGATATGGGAATTCAAACAGATAGTGCTATTATTACTAAGGTCTTTTGGGGATTATTGAATTTTCACAGTTTCACATCATGATCTTATCTTGGTTAGGTAATCACTGAAAGACAAGAAGCATTACATTCTAATTTAACTCTTTGAAGGACTAGAAATTCTGGCTTCTACTCTATGTAGGATGACAGATACACACTATTGAGAGTACTTCTTGGTCTACAATGTTTGTTTAACTAGTAATCATTCCTTTATCTCGATCTATGAAGAAGCTCTTTTTTATAATAATAATTTTACATATGTTTCAAACAGTAGCCTCTGTATCAGTAGGCCTTGACATACACAAAGGAAAAAGCAACATCCTCAAATACAACACGGAGAACATCAACCCAATCACACTTGATGGCGAAACTCTGGAAGATGTGGAATCCTTCATGTATCTCGGAGGTATCATTAATGAGTAAGGGGCACCAGATACAAACGTAAAAGCGAGGATTGGAAAATCAAGGGAGGAATTCTTACAGTCGAAGAATATATGGAACTCAAAAAGCAGTCTGCAAACCAATATCAAAGTGAGAATCTTCAGTACAATTGTCAACACAGTTCTACTGTATGGAGCTGAAACATGCAGAAATACCACAACTATCATCAAAAAAGTACAAGCATATTTAAACAATTGTCTACGTAAGATACTTAATGTCCGTTCACCGAATAGCACGAGCAACAGTTCATTGTGGAAGAGAACGAACCAACTTCCAGCTGAAGCGGAAATGAGGAAAAGATTTTGGAAGTGGATAGGAAATACATTGAGGAAATCACTAAACTACATCACCAGATAAGCTCTAACTTGAAATCTTGAGTGAAAACGAAAAAGAGGAAGTCCAAAGAACACATTACGTCGAGAAATAGAAGCAGATATGAAAAAGATGAATAACAACTGGAATGGGTTCGATGTTGATTACTGGTGGGACACCTATGCTCCTCTACGAGAATGAACAGGCGTAAGTAATATTTTCCAAACATAACCAAGGTAGACATTATACGAAAGAATTACTTCACGAATGTCTTATGTAATCTTACGTTAGTTTTTCTATTTGATTTTATCAGTCCTAGCCCAATCAAATATGAAGTAACGTCATATGAATGAAATCATTTATCAATTGAAATGATCTTTGAAAAAAACTATCTAAACAAGAACTATTCAAAGTGCATACTGAATGAGAATCAGTTAATTAATTTGTCAAATCATAACCAAAATTTATTGGATAATCTTATTTTCCTAATTTATGATCTAACGAAGTTACGTAATCAAACTTAAAGAAGGAACCGATCTTAAGGTGTATACTTCTTACAAAAAACTGAAACTATAATCAATGATGGTCTAACATCAATCGGTTCATGATCTCAATCAAGGACATAATAATCTACATCACTCCATACTGATAAATACTATGTGCTCACTAGTGACTAGCTTCGTGAGGGGATTCTAGGAGCTCTAGTAAGAAGCCGTGATCGGTGGAGCTAATCCGTGTCGGGTAGAGACAGGTTTCTACTTCAGGACAATGGATGATGGTCACGCAATTTTGTGGATTAGTTGATGTTAGATATTAACACCATTGGATGCCGGCCAGATCAGTGGTCTAGTAAGTTAAGCGATCGCGCGCCAGACTGAAGGCCCCGGGATCGGAGATGTGCACTGCTGAGGAGTCCCACAACTGGACGAAACTGTTGTTCAGTGGTCTAACACCAATTGGTTCAAGATCCCAATCAAAAACACCAAATGAATTTAAACCTCACCCCATTGCACAAGGAAGTGGCTAACAGGACTCAGTAGCTAAGTGGATAACATGCTTAGTTTAGCAGGAAAATAGGCTTTGATTTCAAACTAATATCAAAGAATATCACATAATTATCTAATTACAGTTATGAACAATTCATGAGTTTCCAATCAATACTCAACTAGGAATTGTACATAAATCATTTACATATAAGATAAAACTTATGGACCTACCAGTAATTAGCTAATCGTCAGTCACTAAGTACTCAGTCCCGATTGTTGACTGAATTCCGGATGTGATGTAACTAACTAAATGGTATAGGAATAAAATAATTGTTCACCACTACTATGGTTTTTATGGATCCAAGTGATAAACACTAGTTTGAAGGGTAAATAATTTAAACTTGCACTCAAATTCGGTGCTGTTTTGAAGATATAGATTTTTTCTGCACTTATAGGATAGAGTTACTAAGTACATAACAAACGCATATACTTTATTCTAACTTCAGAATAACAGTAATTCTAGGAAGATTTCAGGCGGGATTCTTAGATATAATTAACAAAATATTCAGAAACGGTAATTTTGTGAAGATTGTAGCAGTTTTTGATGGAGTTTTGTTCTCTGAGCTCTATCCAAAATCATCCACCTGAGCTACAAATTTCCACCATCTCAAGACTGTAGAAGTTCAGCTAACTCTATAGTGAGACAGTAACACATTAAAGATAGTGATGGAAGGTGTCGTAATTTTATGTATTGATTAAAGTTAGAGATTAACACTATTGGATGCTGACAAGTTCGGTAATCTAGAGATTAAGCGTTCGCATGCATGACCCAAGATGCTGTGTTTGAATTCCACGTACAGGATCATGGATGTACAGTGCTGAAGAATCATTAAAACTAAAGAAAAAATATCATCACTATAAAGGTTATGGAGATTATTCAGTTTCTGGTTGAGATCAAGGAAAGGAATGATGTTAGACCACAGTTAGAAACATGGAAGCACTGGATGGCCGTTTCTGTTCATGATCTTAATCAAAAACTTAATAGTCTCCACAACCGCTATACTGATAATTATCATGTGTCCTCACTAGTGACTCGCTTCGTGAGGGGATTCTAGGAGTTCTAATGAGAAGCCATGATCAGTGGAGCTAATCCGTGTCGGGCAGAGACAGGTTTCTACTTCAGGACAATGGAAGATGGTCACGCAATTTTGTGGATTGTTTGATGTTAGATATTAACACCATTGGATGTCGTTCAGATCAGTGGTCTAGTAAGTTAGGCGTTCGCGCGCGAGACTGAAGGTTCTGGATTGGAATCTCGAAAGTACGGTCGTGTATGCGCACTATTAAGGAGTACCACAATAGAACGAAACAGTCGTCCAGTACTTTCAAGTTTCCACCGGTGGTCTAGCATCAATCGGTTCATAGTGCCAATCATAAACAAAAAATAAGTTAACACTAACAAAAGTATAAAACTTAAAATCTTAATGAACATTCTATTAAATGATAATTATGACCAATACGAGAACATCATAACTGATCATTATGTATTAGAGAAATATCATAGAAGTGAATATTTAGTATGTTGTTATAAATAGTCTTTAGATAGAAAAATAGGTTGGAATTTCTATTAGATTATACCATACAGTTTATATGAATCATTTAAGTAAACCTAAATAGAATTGATTATTCTTATCTACGAAATATATTCTATTTATATCATTCAGTAAAAGATATAGAATAACTAATCAAATTGAACTGATAGTAGATAAGAAAAAGATGGATAGCGAATAGTAGTGCAAACAACGTGAGTTTCGTCCTATTTGGGACTCGTCAGTTGAATGAACCTCCATCGGAGAGTTGATGTTCATAATAAGACTCGAACCCAGCACTGTTTGCTTCAAACGCCATTGCGTTATCCACAAGATTTCTAGGCAACGATGGATAGTCACCAGAAATGCAATTCAGGACAAGTATTTCGTCCGAAATTGGACTCATCATCTACATGTAACTGAATCTCACAGTTGATGTTCATTCAAAAACTCAAACACCAGTATCATCAAATTCAAATGCTATCAAGTTATCCACTCACTTACTGAGTCCTGATAGCCAACTACATGTGCAATCGAGTGAAGTTGGAATTCACTTCATATTATTTAATTCAATCTTCCAGTTGATGTTTAACACTGCAATTGATCAGTCTATTGTTGGCATATGTGCATCCTGTGCAGACTACCTCGATATTACCTTAATTCACATGCATTCTAAGCAAAGATGGATAGTGGATAGCAGTGGAATCCAGCATGTGCACAACTTTGTGCTATTTGTCTCGTCATCCAGATGTACCTGCATCTCACAGTCGATATTCACTCTTACACTTCAACCAAGTACCCTCCACTTCAAACGAAATGCGCGTCCTCTATTCCACTGCTGCTACCCACTATGCATCTATACTTATGAAGCTTGTGACTGAAAACAATATCAAGGCAATGCACACAGGATGCATATATGACAATAAGTGACTGATCAAATGCAGTCCTAAATAACAATGGGAAGATACAATCAAATAATATCAAGTGAAGTTAAAATTCACTTCATTACACAAGCAGGTGGCTATCACGACTCACCAGTTAAGTGGATAACATGACGACGTTTCAAGTGAACGGTACTCGATTTGAGTGTCAGAGTGAACATCAATTCTGGAATGAAAGTACATCCAGTTGACAAGTCCCACATAGGAGAAAACGCACTTCCTGAATTCCACTACCACCCAATATCCATCATTGTTTATAGAGATTATCAGTAAATGTATTAATCAATCAATTCAAAGTTCACAATATAGAAAGTTAAAACATGATTTTTATTAACAGAATGTTTCATTATTTATTTCAATAGTTGAGATTATGAACCGATTAATGCTAGACCACCATGATAAACCTGGAATGTGAATCTTGGATGTGCAGGGTTCACTATTATCTCTTTTAAATAATTTAACATAAAGGCAATCAATCGTTTAAGAATGTGAAGTAGAAAACAGTTGGAATTCAATATGAAATAATAGTTCCAACAATATTATATTTTTGGTTAGCGATTTTTTTAGCGAGTTACGTTTCTACGGGATGGAGTCACTAACCCCATGCTCTTATCCTTCTCCTTTATCCGGGCTTGGGATCAACGTTGGCCTCATAGGGGCTCTAGGCTGAGTTTTCAATAATATTCCAGCCACGTATTCTTGATGAATTCAAATTATTTCAAAAAGGATATATAACAGGGAACCACTTTGACGACCTTCAACCATTTACGACTTGAAGATAGTGCACGTAATGTTGATTTACTTAGAGTAGTGACTGCATTGAAACTTTATATGAAAAATTTAACAGAATTATGGATTAGACAACCATGAAATCAGTCACTATTGAGTGATAACTCAACTGTAATTAGCTCACTCCTACAGGAGTATGAAGCGACAACTTATTGAAGGTGACAGAATTTGACTGAACAATATCATGGATTAGTTAGAAGTTATGGTTGTACATGGCGCAGATTGGTAAAGCAAGAGCAGAATATTTACAACTAAAGAACCACTAGAACTCCAAACAACAATCTGCTAGCCGAAATCAAAGTCAGAGTTTTCAATATAAAAGGCAAGTCAGTTCTACTGTATGGGACGGAAACCTGGAGAACTACGAACGCCATCATTCAGAAGATAAGAATGTTTATTAATAGCTGTCTACGTAAAATACTTCAGTTACGTTGGCTAGACACTATCATCAACAACCTACTATGGAAGAGAACAAACCAGATCCCAGTAGAGGAAGAAGCGCTGGAAGTGGATAAGATACACATTGAGGAAAGCAGCCAACTCTGTCACACAGTAAGCCCTCACTTGAAATCCTCAAGGCCAAACGAAAATAGGAAGACCAAAGAACACAATACGCCGAGAAATCGAGAAAAACATGAAAAAAATAAACAAAAATAGGATAGAATTGGAAAGGAAGGCCCAGTAGAGAGTGGTTTGGAGAATGCTCCTCCATTGGGAGTACCAGGCGTAAGTAAGTAAGTAATTATGGTTGTAAATCATTCGATTCCGGCTTAGGAATATAGAAATTACGCTAAAACTGAAAGTATGAGGTTCGATCACCCCTGCTGATGCGTATGTGAATAGGATAGGATCATTGTGAAGTTTGAATTATGTATTCTGGTTAGCATTTTTTTAGCGAGTTAGTTTTCTACTTGGTGGGGTAGCTAAACCTATGCTCAACCCTCCTCCTTTATCCGGGCTTGATACCGGTAGTAGCCCCAAAGGGACTCCAGGTGGAGTACTTCTTGGCTTTCAGTAGTTGCTTACAAACATCAATACATCCATCAATGTATACAAACTCTTATACTAAAGAAAAATAACAAAAATTTCTTAGAATTTAACTCTCTAGTGAATTAAGCCTAAGAACTATGAATTCAGAGATTTCTGATGAATTCAATGTTTATTAATCAACATTTCACACGCAGTTTCTATTGTTAAGATCACAAGCTTATATGAATAGATAGAATGAATGGGAAAATGGGTGGAAACACGCTATTATGATGTATTTATTGTGACTATAATATCTAATATTAACTAGGGTTTATAATATTCTACTGGTAGTTCAAATAATAAAAAAACTATGTAGAAATACAATGTGAATATTTGAGAAAATCTGAAAGTATTGGACAGTAGTTTCGTTTTAGTATGGGACTCTTTAGCAGTGCTCATCCACGATTCCAATCGCGGAATTCGCACGCGAACACCTGACTCTAGACCGCTAGGCTGACCGGCATCCAATAGTGTTAATGTAAAACATCAAGTATTCTACAAAATTGAGCGATACATTTACCATTGTCTTCATCAGTAAGTTACTATCTCACAACAGACCCGGATAACTCCACTTGTCACGGTTTCTCATTAGAACTCCAGGAAATACCTCTTGAAGACAATCACTAGTGAGTATATGATGATTGTAATCAGAGAGGGGTTTTATAGAGATTGTAATGATTTAATAGTTAAATTCATGAATTAATTGAAGCTAGACCACTACGGAAAACCTGGAAGCACTGAACGGCTGTTTCATCCAATTGTGAGACTCCTCAACAATGCACCTCCATGATCCTGCTAAATCACTAGACCACCAGTCCTTCCAGGTTTTCCATGGTGGTCCAACTTCAACTGACTCATGATCTCAACTATTAAAATTACTATTATATCCGTAAAACTCCTTCAGCTATAGTTAAGTTCAATTCACAAGCTTCAAATAGGCTAATATCTACTCACTGTATTTCGTTGATAGCCATTGCATTGATTTCATCAATTCTACGAAAGACACGACAATTTGTTCCAGACTATTTTGAAACTTGTCTTAGTATTCA